GCCCATTCGAACTTCTTGGCGTCCTTCGTGAGATTCGTAAGTGGTGCGGAAATCCTTGCGAAATCCCGAACGAAGCGTCGATAATAGGCACAAAGTCCAAGGAATCTTCGCATGGCCTTCTTATCTGTCGGCGCTGGAAATGCCGCGACGGCGCGAGTCTTCTCGGGGTCTGGGCGGACGCCTTCGTTACTAACCACGTGGCCAAGGAACTTCAGTTCGTCATAGGCGAACCGGCACTTTGACGGCTTGAGTGTGAGTCCGGCGGTGTGAATGGCTTGAAGAACAGCTCGGAGTCGTCTCAAGTGCTCGTCAAAGTCAGCTGAAAATACCACGACGTCGTCAAGGTAGACGAGACAACTCTGCCACTTCAGCCCTGCCAGTACGGTGTCCATGACACGCTGGAAAGTTGCTGGCGCTGTGCATAGTCCGAATGGCATCACCTTGAACTCGTACAGTCCATCCGGCGTGACGAAGGCTGCCTTCTCTCGGTCCCGTTCGTCGACCTCGATTTGCCAGTAGCCGCTCTTCAGGTCCATCGATGAAAAGTATCGAGAGTGGCGCAGCCGGTCTAGAGTGTCGTCGATGCGGGGGAGTGGGTAGACGTCTTTCTTCGTAACCGTGTTGAGCTGCCGGTAGTCCACGCAGAACCGAAGAGTTCCGTCCTTCTTCTTAACCAGCACGACTGGAGAGGCCCATGGACTGCTTGAAGGTTGGATTATGTCGTCATTCAGCATCTCTTGAACTTGCTGATGGATCACCTCCCTTTCCTTAGCGGAGACTCTGTACGGCGATCGATGCACAGGGCGCGCGTCGTCCTGGGTAACGATGCGGTGCTTGGCAACCGCGGTCTGGCGCACCTTCGACGACGTCGCAAAGCAGTCGCGGTATTCGGCGAGGAGGTTAACCAGCTGACGCCGTTCAGGGTCCGGAAGCTTAGGGTCAATGTCGAGCTGCGCTGGCGACGTACTGTCTTGCTGGGGCGGCGAGGATTCGTCAGTGATCGCAGTGATTTCGGCGGGGTTTCGGAGTTTCTCGACGTGGCCCACGGCTGCACCTTTCGTGAGGTGTTGCGTTTCGTTTCGGAAGTTCGTCACGAGGGCCACAGTCCGCCCATCCTGAAGTTCAGCTACTCCCCTTGCGACGCCTATGCCTCTTCCCAGGAGCAATTGGAGGCTTCCCTCGAGAAGAACTTCGCCACAGGAAGCTTCATCGATCCCGACAAGTACGAAAACACTCGACCGCGGTGGTAGGTTTACGTGGTTTGCGAGGACTCAGACCGTGGGTGACGTCGCTTCGGGTTCCTCCGCTGGTGGAGCAGGTTTTCGTAGCGTCAGCCGGTTTGTTCCGAGGTCGATGACGGCGCCATACTCGCAGAGAAAGTCCATTCCGAGGATAACGTCCCTCGAACAGTCTTGCAGAGTGACGAACTTGACAGGGCACGTTTCACCGTGGATCTCGACGCGAGCAGTGCATCTCCCGACTGGTGTGATGAGATGTCCTCCGGCCGTTCGTATTTGGGGTCCTTCCCACGGCGTCATGACTTTTCGAAGGCGGCGGGAGAGCCTCCCACTCAAGACTGAGTGGTCTGCTCCGGTGTCCACGAGTGCCGATGCGTCGTGACCGTCGATGACGACGTTTAGGTTGTTGGACACCGTTGCAGGGGCGTCGTAGCGATGCGTGGCGTCGGGAGAGTGGGAGCGCTCCGCCGTTCTTGGAGGCTCTTTACGTCGGTCGTCTTCGGCAACTCCACCTCCAGGGGTTGCCGCGCCTAGTTTCTCCGGCGAGGAGCGAGGGGCGAGAGGCTTTCACGTCGGGGTCGGTGCATCGGCGAAGCTGGACGTCGTGGCGATGGCGACCGGAGCTCTCGGCGGGACGCGGGCTCGGGGGACTGGGGTCGTCGCAGGTACTCGTCGATCTCCCGAGGGCGTTCACCACACCGGGGGCGCGGGTCGTTTGGGTGGAATCCGCGCAGCCCGAGTCGTCGGTATGGGCATCGGCGGTACACATGGTCGGCTTCCCCGCAGTGGTAGCAGAGCGGGCGTCGGTCGGCCGTTCGCCACACGTCGGTCTTCCTGGGCGCCGGTTGTTCTCGCCGGACGCACTGAGGTCGGTCGTCGAGACGTCGGGGGTACGGTGGTGCTGGTGCGTCTCGTCGTTGCGGCGCAGGTGGTTGACGGGCAGCAGGTGGCGGTAGTCGGGCCATTGCGGCGTAGCTCAGCGCTGGTTCTTCGGGAGCTGGAACGATGATGGGAGTGTCCGGCTGGCAAGCTCGCTGTACTTCCTCTCGAACCACCTCGGCGATCGAGAGCGAAGCGGGTGGTTGTGAGCCGGCAGTAGCTTCCTGAGCTCATCCCGGACGACGTCGCGGATGATTTGCCGCAGGTGTTCGATGCCGGCACCATTGACATCGGAGCGAGGTGGCGAGACAGCCGGAACCGTTGACACACCGGTGAGTCGTTGATAGTGCACAGCTCTGGCCAACAGCGCTCGCTCGAAGTTGGTTGCCTCGGCCACGAAGCCATCTACCGTCGTCGGGGGGCTGCGGACAAGGCCACCGAAGATTTCACTCTTGACGCCCCTCATGAGGAAGCGCAACTTCGTCTCCTCGGTGGCTTGAGGGTCGGCGCGTCTACAGAGTCGTAGCACGTCTTCAACGTAGCTTGTCACGCTTTTGTCGGGGATTGTGTCCGCGTCTGGAGCAGGTCTTCCGCATACTGTCGCCGGTGTTGGTTCAAGAATGTTCGCCTCAACTCGGCGGCGCAGATATCCCACGATGTAAGTGAAGCCTCGTGGTTTTCGAACCAGTGCCTCGCAGTGCCCTCCAGCGAGAAGTAGAGGTTCTGGAGGCGTTGCTCGGCGTTCCATCCGTTGTGGCAGGCGACGCGCTCATAGTGAAGGATCCAGTCTTCGACGTACACCATTAATTTCGCCATGGAAGGTTGTCGGCGATAGGGGGGCGACAGGCAGGACGACGGGCGGAGTGGTCATCGTCGCGGTCTTCTTCTTTGATTTCCGCGGCAGGGGTCCGAGTTCAGGAGCTTGCCCTTGAAGACGGCGGCTGGCACGATGCTCTCAGTCTTCAACGGAAGGTTGTCGGGAAATGGGGCTTGTTGACCGAGTTCTTCTAGGGGTACGCTGCACGGGTTTTGTGCCCCGCACCTCCACCAGAAGTGTCACGAATGAAGGCGACGAGAAGGCGAACAGTGAACTGAAAATAAAGGTTTAATGGGCAAACTTGTGCCAACCAAAAATAAGTCACGAAAGAGCGTCGAGGCAGCAGAAAAGCAGGCGGCGATTCGGTGGCAAAACAGAGAGCGCGAGCGAGACTGAGACTCGACAAGGTCGCGGGCGGCCTCTTATCTAGAGTGCGCCGCTATCTCGAAGATTCGGCGAAAGCGGTTCGAGCGTCGCGTGATCGGGGCGAGAATGAACACGCACTTTCTAGAAAACAAAAGCAGGGATAAATGATAGAAGTTACGTGCGGTACGTAAATAAACGGGAACTTTCTGGAGGACCGTGACCGAGCGTTGCTTTCTCAGCCTTGCGCGCGGCAATATGACCCCTCCCAAGGTCACCTCAAGGTCACGTGACCCCCCAAGGTGACCCCCCGAGGTCAGGCGGCCCCCTCCCCAAGGTCACGTGACCCCTCCCTCGAGGTCAGGTGACCCCCCCCCCCCGGAGCATATTAAAGAATGAGGGGAAGAGGAGGAGAAGGAAGGGGAGGAGGAGGAGGGGTCTACCCTCCCAGTACCCTTCCCTCCTCCTCCTCGAGAGCTGCGCTCCAATTCGGTGTTACAGGGAGTTGTAAACGGCTTTCACTTTTTTTTAGAGCGCAGCTCTTAGGGGCCCGTTCCCGGCTTGAGCGGCGTCGGCGTCGCCGTCGGCGTCGGCGTAACCAAGGTCACCCCAAGTTCACGCGACCCCCAAGGTCATCCCAAGATCACGTGACCTCCAAGGTCACCCCAAGGTCACGTGACTCCCAGAGGTCACGTGACCCCCCCGAGGTCACGTGACCCCCCGCCGAGGTCACGTGACCTCCCCGATGACGTCATCGTCACTGATGACGTCACCGGCATCCGCATCGTCATCGTCATCATCACTGATTACGGCATCAGTGACGTCACTGATTACCTCCCTGGCATCCGCATCGTCATCATCACTGATGACGTCATCAGTGACGTCACTGATGACGTCACCGGCATCCGCATCGTCATCGTCATTATCACAAATGACGTCATCAGTGACGTCACTGATGACGTCACCGACATCCGCGTCATCATCGTCATCATCGCTGATGACGTCATCGGAGTCCCCATCGTCATCAGTCATGTCATCAGTGACGTCACTGATGACATCATCGCGATCGTCACGTGACCCCCAAGGTCACGTGACCCCCCCAGGTCACTTCACCCCCCCCCCCAGTACCCTTCCCTCCTCCTCCTCAAGAGCTGCGCGCTAATTCGGTGTTACAGGGAGTTCTAAACGGCTTTCACTTTTTTATTTGAAAGGTAGAATTACCATGGGCGCTAAGAAAACAAGTAACATTTCGTCTTAATATGTGAGCACCTCACAATGGCCGGAAGAAAGCAAAATAAAGTTTCTAACAATACAAGTTTTGCCATTCCCAGCCACATTGGTCAAATTTTGCCGGCAATAAATTCAAAGCCACTTACAAATCAACGCACTCGCGCTCTTCACAACCTCCACGGAACGTGGTCCCTGAGAATAGTGCTGACCTTTTCGTACGCGTCAACGGCCGCTATTGTTTTTCTTGTGGAAATGTCGTGGAAAGGTTACCTCTTGCAGCGGATGAATAAAGCTTCGTGCGTACGTCATCCTTCATTTTATTACAATGACTCACCCTTTTGTATAGCGCTCTCGCAGCTTTATACAAAATTCACGCAGGAACTTCCTTGTTGACGAGAGTATTATTTATTTTATCCTGCCACCACACTGTATTAATTGTTTGCTCAATCGTATGCACTTCGTTACGTTGGAAAATGTATTTGACAACGCTTATTATTGTCAGCCTCGCTCCTGCTCATGCCGGTAATGTACCAACCCCATGTATATAGAAGTTAACATTCGGCTTTTCTATGTTACCTATAATGTACTATCGGGAAAAGAAATTAAATACGAACAGAGGAGCTTGTGGCTCGCGGTACAGGTTGTGCCGCCTGGAAGTGAGCCTAGGCGCGAGAGTGTGTGGCCTACTCCGATGTGTATACGGCCCTCGCTGGGGGCTTCCCGAGCTTCGGCATTGCGCCTCTTGGTGTGCTGAAAGCTATCACCGTTATTGTTGCTAGCTCGACGCGTGCGGCGCGAGGAAACTCGCCCCTAGTAGCAGCTAAAGATCGCGCTGGCTGGGCGCGCGCGCAAGGTTCTACTAGCGGCGAGCTTCCTTGCCCCGCACGCGTCGAGCGAGCAACGATATTGGTGATATCTTTCAACGCACTAAGAGGCGCAATGCCATCGGAGTATGCCACACACCCTCGCTCCTAGGCTAACTTCCAGGCGGCGCAGCATGTACCGCGAGCCACGCGCTCACCTGTTCGTATCTCATTTTTCCCCGATAGCAGTTTCTCTAAAGCCTGGTTCAGACAGTTGCGTTTGACTGAGTTTGACTGCCTTTCGGCCGCGAGAAACCAGGAGATCCCTCCTGCTTATAGCGCGTGCCAAGATGATTCCTTGAATTGAATTCCACGCTTCATACGAAGCACAGATGTGCCGGTGACTCGCTTTGGTTCTCGCCGCAACGGAGTCAGACTCACTGAAACGCAAATGTCTGAACCGTCCTTAAAGGCTCATCCCTATGGACCGAATCTGCTGCGGAAAAGAGACGAACTTCGCATCGCTGCGTGTGTATGCGTGCGCGTGACTTCAGAACAGTGATTATTCTCAAGTCACTTTTCGGCGCCTGCGCCGTGTGCGTTCTTTAAGTCACTCTTGCGTCGCGTGCAGAGCGAACGAGCTGTGGGGAAGTTCGTCGGTATAGGGAGTATTCACTGGCGGCCATAGCTCTGTGCGCAAATGCTGAGCGCGTGCTGATGCCGATCTTCCACAGTTCTTTTGCAATGTGCATTCCGCACCATCCAGAGTGTCGGTCTTAGCAGCCTATTGATGTCAGTTCGTTCTGAGTATGCGCTCTAAACAGCACCCGCAAATATGGCGTCCAGTGAATACTTTTTATACTCTGGTCACCCTTAAACTGCGACTAGAAGTTCCGCCTTCAGAGCAAGCTTTCTGTTCTAGCTAACAGAAGTGTGAACGTCCATGCACGCGCAACCAAAGTGCTGCAGAAGCCAACGAGCTTGGGCTGAAGGTGGAACTTCTACTCTGAGCTTAAGGGTGAACGGAGTATACTCCGTCACATATTTGCAGAACTGTACAGAAGGAAAAAAGCGATACCCCGTCCTGGGACGACGCCGACATCACCACTACACGATCTTACCGCGAGTAGAAATGTTACCACATTATTCAGCTTCAAAGAAAGAAACAGATGTCATTCTTGCTGAGAAAGCTGAAGAGCGACATGCTTTCAGGATTATCCGAAATAAGGTCTATCAATTCTATCCCTAACACGTTCGATGTGAAACCCAGTAAACACACACGCGCGCACAGACGTACAGTCGCCGGCCATATGAGCTCCCCTGGCCGAACACCGACCGGAGCAGTAAAACTCCCGCATGCGGCGCGTCAAGCGTTGCCGCGTTCTGGGAGCCGGGCTATTGGGACAAAACCATTCCGTTATTAAAGGGGGGGACGCAGGAAATTATAGCATTCCGCCTTTTTGGAACGTGAATCTGAAGCACGGCCGATTACAATCCTGCTTCCGGTTGTAGGTAAACGCAGAGGGCTTATCGAAATTCTTTACTGCACAATATCTCTGACGTGTTATATACTACTTTTTTATTTGCAAAACCGGTTTGTCATTTTAAATATTTCCTACCCGAAGAGTACTCCTACGCACAAGCCCCCTTTCTTACAATCTTTCTTAAACCTAGACTAGACAATGACAAGCGATTTTGAAATAATTTATTTAATCTATAAGGATATGCTATAGATAACAAAAAAAAAGATTTGTGTCGAAGCTGAATAAAGATTCAGGCACTTTTCATGAACGCGTTTTATCGAGGAGACTCTTGTTCTGCGCTCAGTAGCGTGTTGCTTCGCCAAGAGTAATTCTCTCTACGATGACTTTGCAGACGGCTTCCTGGTCGGACACATCTCGCTTGCCGAGGGATTATTGTTGTCATGCCTAATATCATATCAAACATAGGGTTTTTACATTTGTAAACATCGATCGAACACTGCTGCTTTATCTATGCATAACAAGCCCCGTTTATCAACAGCTATAACATCATCTCCGAAAACTTGCGGCCAACACCCGAAGACGGCAATTCTAACCGGCCGTGTTTTTGTGATTCACACTTCTAAAGGCTGGAATCTTGATAAATGCTATGCGTCCACCCCTTTGATAACGAAAAGGTTTGGTCCCAATAGCCCGGCTCCCAAAACGCGGCAACGCTCGACGCGCCGCGTGCGGGATTTTCGCTGATCCGGTCGGCGTTCTGCCGGGGGAGCTCATATGGCGGGCGACTGTACGTACGCACGCACACGCACACACACACACACACACGCGCGCGCGCGCGCAATGATCACGTATTAAGCGCGAGACACATGGACGGCAGAATCGTTCTGACGTCCTATCCGACAGTCCGAACGCCGCTCCGAATTGCCGCACGCGACAGTTTGAGACACACTCTTCCGACCTTGCATGCGATACGACGATCAGTTCGGCTCCGCCCAGGACATCCAAGCACTCCAACGGAGGTCCGCGTTCATAGATCTCTGGTCCCAGATTGACGGTTTAGCTCGCACGGGCGAAGTTAGGAGCTCGTTCTCGCTAGCGCGTGCATTCTTTACCGGGGCCATATTTTTCGAATGGGTCAGCGGGGTCCACGCGTGCTGCTACCCGTCGCCCGTCCCGTTTTCTTATTCGTCCCGCTACACCCAGTACGTCATCATGACGTTCGCGCTAGCTGTGCTGACATTGGCTGGACGCTTCCGACAGTCCGTCCGCCGTGCGAAACTATCTGGCATGTCGGACGCACGCCGGATCGCCGATCCGACATCTTACGTGACCAATTATTTTCGGATCAGGCAGTCGTACTTGCGGATCGGACGTCGGATCGGATGGATTTTTTCGTGCATGTGTCTCGCGCTTCAGTAATAAATTTAGCAATACACACACACACGTACGCAAAAAAGAAAAAAAAAACTTTCGACGTTCGATGCCGTAAACGCTCGAAAAGCGCCAGCATAGATGAGGTAAACAAGCACGAAGCACAAACTGTTTTGTGTCGTTTTGAAGCCTCACTAAGACGCCGCCGCTCAGGCGAAGGGTCTCTTCATTGAGCCTGCTGGTTTACCATTGCGACATGCGACTAGAGTGACAAAGCCCAGAATAACGCTTCACATGAAAAATGAATTCTCAGCGTTGAGTCTGCTGAGGAAACACGCCAACGCCTAAGAGCCGAGGTTGTTGAAGGATTGCGCAATCACATTTAATCGTGATCGGCATGCAATGCGCGTTGACAAGAAGAGGATGCCCTGGTCGGACGTTGCGGGCGCCATACCGCGCGGTCCGAGGCTATGCAGGGGCCGCGCATGCAAAGGTCTACATGTTCACACGAGAATTGTTGTTTCAGATGTCGTCTATCCTGTTCTGATAGAAAGCAGAAGCCGAAGTTCACATGGCGCCGTCCAAGTGACTAAGGATTACATTGTTAACTTAGAGGAATCCAGCGTCTTAGGAGAGAATTTGTTTTTCACCGATGCTCTGAATGGGAAGGTAACCCACGAGTTGGTAAGGAGCGTTTGCCCGCTTATATGTGAGTTTTAATTCCAAGGGCCTTGCTTTAGGTTCTGACGTAGAAATAAATGAGAGAAGAAAAAAGAGGAATTTTATTATATTTGGTTTAAAAGAAGTAAATTCCCATTCAAACTTTGGAGTAAAAATCTCGTTTACCTTGCTCAAGATATGAGTACGTTTTGGGTCCTGCCAAGAATAATAGAAATGACCACTTACACTTGACATGCGTGAAAAGCTCCAATATATATTAGTGCTTCAAAAATATTCGTTATTTTTATTTTGCATTTGTTAATTTAGCAAGACCTATTTTCTGAAAATTGTGATATTCGATTTCTGTTACGTTCCGTAGGAGATATTTTATTATTCCTACTCAATTAAGATTATCCATCAGTTCGTATATTCTCGCATTTCTTGAAAAAACCGAAAAACGTAATAGTCCGGCTCAATAAAACTGTTTCGTTGCTGGAACCAAGAAGACAGCACACGTCAAACGCACAAACGTATCGAATGCAAGCTGAAGTCATCTTTCATTCAGTGTGCCTCAGATCGAGTCAGTAAATAGTTTATGAACAGGTATTAGCCTTACTAGGCGTATTCTAGTTTCAGCTACAAAGGCGCTTGAACTATTATGCCAAAATTAGAAAGTAAAGCATTAAATGCATACGACAAAACAAAGAATATTATTCATTCATTCATTTTTTTATTTTCTGTGCTCATGAACAGCTTGACGCCTTGGTAATGATGCACAGCAAAATGTTCACATGTTAGATACAAAAGTCTTAAAAGCTACAAAATTTTGCTTAAAAACATCAATATCTGCTCCCCTGAGGGTATTGTAGAAGTTTTGATACGGGTCATGGAACTTTTACTGAAACTAGAAGTGTTGAGTACGGGTCATGGGACTTCTACTGAAACTATTATCTAATAGTTTCAATAGATGACTATCAATGGAAAAGGACAGATTCATGAACTGCTTCCACATAATTTTGCAAAGCATTGTTGAGGTAGAGGTTGGCGCAATGTATTTTTTAGAGGATAACGTCGTTATTAAGTAATTTAATAAAAAAGAGTAATAGTATCGTAAACATGATATAAACCACGAGACTGCAGTCAAAAAACGACACGAACAAAGCGGTTTTTGGTTGTCGTTTTTTCAGGAAGGTGTTTATATAGGCAGCTTGAAAAAACAATCTTTTCTTTTGTCAAGCTGATTATATGAGCACATTTCAGGAATAAATAATTCATCTGTGTTCGAGACCTTTTACTCTCCGTGTCGTTTTTCGCCTGCAGTCTTTGGGTTTATGTCATGTTCAGTCTCAACCAGCTTGTTTGCGCCCGTACATTCACTTCAATATCGAACATTTGTATTTTTTAGATATATCGTTGGGAGGTTTATCCTCCACCTTCGATGAGAACGAAGTGATTTTTTTTTGTTTTCTTTTGCGTTACTAACAATATATTGTTTATTTTAGATGGATACCACTTCCCTACGCAACAGCGTTTATGAAAGCTCAGAACACGCAGCTTCTTTTACAATTACTAAATCACCCACGGGGGTAGAAATGGTATGAATATTTGTTCGTTTTATGTTTACTTAAAAACGATATGGACAAAGCCACAAGTGAAGCTGCCTTCAAAAAGAGGTCCTTTGAATTTGGGCTATTCCTGGAAGCCAGATCTTAGCCCACTATATTTGCCTCCAGCTGTGCTTCTTGAATGCATAAAAATTGTAAATCTTTAAAAAAAATTCAGTGTCGCCAGAGCATAGATAATCACACTAGTATTTTTGTTCAATAAACGACTTGAAATATAACGAATTACATAAATAACACCACTAATTACTGACGAACAAAACTCCATATTTAAATGAAAAAACATATTACCAATTACTATATATACGTAATTTACATTACAAATGACACACTAATTAAAATACATTTAAGCAGTGTTTATAAACTGTTGGTAGTTGTAAAAGGGGATGCTTGTTCGTAAATGAATCAAACACTGCTTATAAAGAACGATCCTTTATTTTTTTCAATCTGTTTAAACAGGAAGGTTACCTCAATTTTACACACGGAATTAAGCCACTTAGGATAAATGACAGATCTGGACGAATTCCTCACAAAATATTTCCTCTTCCCAAGCTTGAGGAAGAGATTGATATTGTTCGTAAGTGTGCTTCTGAAGAATTCTTTTGTTTGGCATGTTTGGCAGAAATCGTAACAGTCCTTGCGCGATGTTTGATCTCGTATTAAAATTATTAGTTCGAAACATTAACTTTTACATAAAATGTGTCTTTGAACGTCTCTCACAAACCATATTCAATACAAAGCACATTGGAAAAAAATTTTAAAAGATCTGCTTTGTTTTACCACGTTGTATCGTAGGTTTTTTATTGGCCTTACTTCGTTACTATTAATCACATCTCCAACGGTGGTCAGCTGTGCGTTGAATACGAAATTTAATAATTTACTCAGAGACATTTCTTCAGTAATTTAATTAATTAGTATGCTTCAATAAAGCGATACAATTCTCCAAGATGAGCCAATATAACTACAATATTACGCATTTTGAGATAACGTTTTCTAGGAAGCGTGTACCCTTAGGGACGCAGAAATAGAGTGTGCTATTAAAATAATTAAGCTTTACTTAATGGCTTGTTTTGCCCGGATTAATAGCCAGACATGCTTTAGGTTCTATATGCTCTAGGTCGCAACAAAGTAATTTTTCCACTAATTTCAAAAATATAATTTGCGACATTTATCTTGAAATAAATATTCCTTCCGAATGAGACATTATACTCAATAGCAAGATAAAGCCTTACGTATTCCTCACCTCGAAGTAAAACAACAATAAAAACCAAGACTAGATGCCAGTAAGAAAACCTTTGTGATGTTTGCCAATGTAGCAGGCCAAAAATACACACCTAACTTGTCGGCAATCCTAAAGCCTAACTCCGCTCTAATACGGTTTTGCTAGAACGCGCTAGTTAGTGGATGAATATTTTTTTTCTGCGCTTCGATGGCTTTTCGCTGGTTCGCCACGTAATCGCCAAAGAGCCAGGCTTGAGCCAAAGATGCCGCGTTTCAACACAAGAACCATTGGTGAATGAAACCTCAATTTGGCGCGTCTTTGGCAAATCAGGCTTAAACGTTGAGGTATGAAACCCAAGCAACCAAAAGTGAGCCTCACTCTGGCTCTAGCTTGTCAAATTTTGGCCAAGACACTCAAATTCTCAACAAAAAAGGATAAGCTTGGCCCTACCTTGGCTTCCTAGAGCGTTGTAAGATCCCAGAATTCCGAAGCAAAACGAAAATTTTGGTTTAAAAACTTTGCTACCTGGATTTTAGAAATGAATCTCACCAGATTACATTCTTGGTGCTGAGTTCGAAAGCAACAAAGGAATTGTGTCGCAATCCCACTAGAGGGCGCGTATTTGAACGCTTAATGGGTTAAGAAATCGGTTAGTAACTAATACAATCGTCGAATATTCACCAAGTTAATTGAATTTTTTCACAGCCCTGAAAAATACCCCCCCCCCCCCCCCCAAGGCAGTCATTTCTACGTTCTCTTTACCCACCTGATTTTCCCTTACTTCGAAACCAACCGGGCAACTCAGCAACCTTATAATTTGATTCAGACAATAAACGATTCATTTCAAGGATAATCGACCTGAGGAGAGTAACACCTCAAAAATTATTTACAATATTTATTAGTAAACTAGAGACCTTTTGCCATCTGAGAATGGTCTCGCAGTCGCGATAATGTCGGCTTGCAGAGGTGCGTGCGGTTGACAGATGCCGCAGATTGTTCTCTCTCGTGCCCTACCTCGCCTAGTGACGTCTCTTTGTGTGTAACGTTGTCGTCTTCTTGGTGGGTGCTGTTTCACTGGTCACTACATACGCATTAAATTGTCCTAGTAATATTTCTCCTATTTAGGAATGTATCAAAAACTGTTCACAAATATTTTGTACTACGCATGAGGATACTTTAACGGTATTATAGCGGTACATACTGAAGAAAATTAATATGACCTTCCAACGTTTAATCGCTTTTATTGAAGATGAATACGACTTCTTATGACTATCTTTGTGTACATAATAATTATACCCTACTTTTGCAAAATCGCAGTGATCACATCCTTGCTAATGTCGCGGGCGAAGCTGGACAAGTCGCGCGCGTAGCCTAACGGTTGTCATCCTTGCCTCCGACGCGAAAAGCCAGAGTTCAATTCCAGACAGCGACGCGTCTTTTTTTTTTATTCTCGCAATTTAATGTACTGGTAAATTCGAGAACCTTTTTGCTTGTTCGAGGTCCGAATGTTCTACGCGCCGAACCTTCTGCACCTGCGTCCCTGCATGTACATAAGGGGCTCCGCGTGGCGAGCCGGAGTCAGTCTCGCCCCAGCGTTCGATCGTGCTGTTACGCCGACTTCGACGCTCGCGACGCTTTGATGTTATCTTCTGTTTCCTTTTCGTTTAAGGCACAATTTCGCCCCATTAAAGGTTTATTTCTTCCTGTTTAGTATTGTTCTTTTGATCACTACTGTCGTATCCGCGTAGTAAGGAGACACCACAGCCCGAATACTCGTTCCTATATTTTACAGGACAACAGAGTCTGGCTTGCGCCATCAGTCGCTCGCAGTTCTATGAGTTCGCGTGCTCAAAGATCAAGCGACCCTCGCAGACAAAAACGATCTTCTTCTGTTCATGCGCCAGTGGCGCCGCGCTAGACATCACAACTACCCATGACATTACGGTCGAGAGGCGGGGTATCGCATTCTATGCCCGTAAAGTGTACCCCTTCGAAGACATCCCGGCCAAGTGAGGTTCTCAGCCCCGGAAGGTTACCCTTCGCCGAAGAGGCCGAAGACCGAACAAGCCGCCGTTCCAAACGGCAATCCCCGGTATTCGGACTCCTGCCGCAGGGGCTAAAGAAGAAGGCCGCGACAATGACCACCCCACCCGTCGATGTCCTACCCGCCGCTGCACGTACGCCCGCGTCCTTTCATGGTGAACCTTACGAAGCCGTCGACGACTGGCTACAGCAGTACGAGCGAGTGGCCAAGCACAACCGATGGACGGACGAACGACGCCTGTAGAGTCTTTACTTCGCGCTCGAAGGAACGGCCAAGCACTAGTTCGATAATCGCGAGATTTTTTTTACCTCGTGGACCGCCACAGGGATTCTCCGAGACAGACATTCACCAACCAATATCTACTAGAGAGGGCCGAGGACCTTCTTCGAATGAGTAAGCCACGAACATGAAACGTGACCTCCTCGTAAAAGCCAGCCACTACCATCGGCACTCGAGCATCGATGCTTCCTCTGCAGTGGGTTACGTCAGCCCTAATATAACCGGCACTCGCGACATCATCCGTGAAGTCGTCCCGGAACAGCTCCGTAAGGTGCTTCCCGATGCGGATCGCCCATCCTCACTATCGCTCGCCGAGGTTGTCCGCGAGGAGTTCCACAAAGCCTTCCAACCTGAAGCTCCCATCATCACGACGACGCCAGAGGAACCGACGTTACGTTACGCTTTTATGGCTCGACGACCGCCGCAAGCTAACCGCCAGGCCACGGCACCATCCCGACGAGACCTTCCGATGCCGCAGTATCCTCGACGTCAGGTAGAACAAGTCCAGTACCTCCGCCCGGCCCGGAACGACCCTCGCCGAAGAAGACCGATGTGTGGAGGACGGCCGATCGACGCCCGTTGTGCAATCACTGCGGAAAGCCGACCATATCTATCACCAATGCCCCTACCGGCCAATAGGGGTGCGCGGCTTCCACCCAAGCCACCCACGCCCATGCTACAGTGAGAGACCACAGGAGATGGAAGAGTACCTTCGACGACCTCAGTCTCTCCCCCCCCCCCCCCCCCTGCACCTCGCCGCCGATCTCGGTCGCCCTCACCTCGACGTCCAGCTTCGTCGATGCACCAAACCCGTCGTGAGAACATGTCGCCCTTGTCTCGCCGGGAAAACTAAACGCGGCAACTGCCGGAGGTGAAGTTGCCGCTGGAAGGAACGACGTAAAGGGCCTCCACGAACGCCGGCGCGCTCCCACTCTCTTGACGCCACGCATCGCAACCATGCTCCTGCAATTGTGCCCAACAACTTAAGCGCTGTTATCGATGGCCACGACGCATCGGCACTCGTGAACACCGCAGTAGACTACTCAGTCGAGTAGGAGGCACTCTCGTCGCCTTTGAAAAGTCACGACGCTATGGGATGGGCCGCAGATTCGGACCCCTGGAAAACACCTCATCACGCCTGTCGGAAGGTGCACTGCTCGCGTCGAAATTCACTCCGAAACGTTTTATGTGAAATTAGTCATTATACAAAACTGTACAGAGACGTCATTCTCGTCATGGGCTTTCTTTGTGAATACGCCGCCGTCATCGACCTTGAAGAAAACAGATTCACGCTGCGAAAACCTGTTCCACCTTCGGAGAACTCCCAAACAGCGTCAGCCGCCGTCCGAGTCGCTGCCGACCATGTTAACCTGCCGCCGCAATCAAGTGTTGTAGTACCCGTCGTGACCAAAGCAGCTACCTGCGGCGAAGTTTTTCTGGAAGGCAACCTTCAATTGCTCCTGGTAAGGAGAATAGGCATCGTAAGAGGAGTAGCTGAACTTCAGGATTGGCGTACTTTAGTCCTCGTGACGAACTTCCGACAAGAAACGCAACACCTCGTGAAAGGTGCAACTGTCGGCCACGTCGAGTAACTCCGGAATTTTGCCGAAATCGCCGTGATTGCTGAAGAATCCTCGCCACCTCAGCAAGGCATTTCGCCGCCAGCGCAGCTCGACATTGACTCCAAGCTTCTTGGCCCAAAACGACGGCAGCTGTTTTATCTCCTCGCCGAATGCAGCGATTGCTTCGCGACGAAGTCGAAAGTGCGACAAATCGCCGTTGCGAGACACCGCATCGTTACCGTAGACGACACTCTCCCTGTGCATTGATCGCCGTACAAAGTCTCCGTAAAATAAAGGGAGGTAATCCAAGAGCAAGTGCAAGAAATGCTGGACGACGACATAATCCAATCTTCAAGCAGTCCGTGGGCCTCTTTAGTCGTACTGGTTAAGAAGGACGGAACGCTTAGTTTCTACGTGGACTGCCGGCAGCTAAACATGGTGACCAAGAAAGACGTCTATCCACTCCCCCG